ATTAGCTTCAACATTGGTAATGGATATGTAATAGCTTCAAAATGATAGAGGATATGTAATAGCTCTAACATTGGTAGTGGACATGTAATAGCCTTCAACATTGATAGAGGATATGTAATTAGCTGCAACATTAGTAGCAGATATGCAATAGCTTCAAAACTGGCAGTAGATATCCAATAGCCTCCAACATTGATAGTGGATGATGTAATAGCTTCAACATTGATAGTGGATATGTAATAGGCTCAACATTGGGAATGGACATGTAATAGCTCAACATTGATAGTGGATATGTAATAGCTCAACATTGATAGAGGATATGTAATAGCTTCAACATTTTCGGTGGTAATGGATATGTAATAGCTTCCAACATTGACAGAGGATATGTGGTTAGCTTCAACATTGGTAATGGATGCCAATAGCTTCAACATTGGTAGTGGATATGTAATAGCTTCAACATTGGTAGTGGATATGTAATAAGCTTCAACATTGGTAGTAGATATGTAATAGCTTCAACATTGGTAGTAGATATGTAATAGCTTCAACATTAGTAAGTGGATATGTAATAGCTCCAACATTGGTAGTGGATATGTAATTGCTTCAACATTGGTAGTAGATATGTAGCCAGCTCGCAACATTACTAGTGAATAATGTAATAGCTTCAACATTGGTAGTGGATATGTAATAGCTTCCAACATTGCTAGTAGATATGCAATAGCTTCATTATTGGTAGTGAATATGTAATAGCTTCAACATTGGTAGTGAATATGTAATAGCTTTAACATTGGGTACTAGATATGTAATAGCGTCAGCATTGGTAGTAGATATGTAATAGCTTCAACATTGGTAGTGGATATGTAAAGAGGCTTCAACATATGTAGTGGATATGTAATAGCTTCAATACTGGTGGGAGGATATGTAATAGCTTCCAACATTGATAGTGAATATGTAATAAAACATTAAACAGCGTCAACATTGGTAGTAGATATGTAATAGCTTCAACATTGGAAGTTGATATGTAATAGCTTCAACATTGGTAGTGAATATGTAATAGCTTCAACATTACTAGTGAATATGTAATAGCTTCAACATTGGTAGTGGATATGTAATTGCTTCAACATTGGGAGTGGATATGTAATAGCCCAAAATTGGTAGTAGATATCTAATAGCCTCAACATTGATGTAGTGGATATGTAATAGCTCCAACATTGGTAGTGGATATGTAATAGCTTCCAACAGTGATTGGTTAGTAAGACTTAAATGGATGCAATAGCTTCCAACATTGGTAGTAGATATGTAATAGCTTGAACATTGAGCAGTAGATATGTAATAGCTTCAACATTAGGAGTGGATATGTAATAGCTTCAAAGTTGGTAGTAGATATCTAATAGCTTCAACATTGATAGTGGATATGTAATAGCTTCAACATTGGTAGTGGATATGCAATATGCTCAACATTGATAGAGGATATGTAATAGCTTCAAACATTGATAGAGGATATGTAATAGCTAACAATAGTAGTGGATATGGAATAGCTTCAACACTGGTAGTGGATATGTAATAGCCAAACATTGGTAGTGGACATGTTATAACTTCAGTATTAGTAGTGGATATGTAATAGCTTCAACATTGATAGAGGATATGTAATAGCTTCCAACATTAATAGTGGATAATGTAATAGCTTCAACATTGGCAATGGATATGCAACAACCCAACATTGATAGAGGGATATGTAATAGCTTCAACATTGGTAGTGGACACGTAATAGCTTCAACATTGATAGAGGGATATGTAACAGCCGCAACATTAGTAGTAGATGTAATAGCTTCCAAAATTGGTAGTAGATATCCAATAGCTTCCAACATTGATAGGTGGATATGTAATAGCTTCAACATTGATAGTGGATATGTAATAGCTTCAACATTGGGAATGGACATGTAATAGCTTCAACATTGATAGTGGATATGTAATAGCTTCAACATTGATAGAGGATATGTAATAGCTTCAACATTGGTAGTGGACATGTAATAGCTTCAACATTGATAGAGGATATGTAATAGCTTCAACATTGATAGAGGATATGTAATAGCTTCAACATTAATAGTGGATATGTAATAGCTTCAACATTGGTAATGGATATGTAATAGCTTCAACATTGATAGAGGATATGTAATAGCTTCAACATTGGTAATGGATATGTAATAGCTTCAACATTGGTAGTGGATATGTAATAGCTTCAACATTGGTAGTGGATATGTAATAGCTTCAACATTGGTAGTAGATATGTAATAGCTTCAACATTGGTAGTAGATATGTAATAGCTTCAACATTAGTAGTGGATATGTAATAGCTTCAACATTGGTAGTGGATATGTAATTGCTTCAACATTGGTAGTAGATATGTAATAGCTTCAACATTACTAGTGAATATGTAATAGCTTCAACATTGGTAGTGGATATGTAATTGCTTCAACATTGCTAGTAGATATGTAATAGCTTCATTATTGGTAGTGAATATGTAATAGCTTCAACATTGGTAGTGAATATGTAATAGCTTTAACATAGGTACTAGATATGTAATAGCGTCAGCATTGGTAGTAGATATGTAATAGCTTCAACATTGGTAGTGGATATGTAATAGCTTCAACATATGTAGTGGATATGTAATAGCTTCAATACTGGTGGGAGATATGTAATAGCTTCAACATTGATAGTGAATATGTAATAGCGTCAACATTGGTAGTAGATATGTAATAGCTTCAACATTGGAAGTTGATATGTAATAGCTTCAACATTGGTAGTGAATATGTAATAGCTTCAACATTGGTAGTGGATATGTAATAGCTTCAACATTGATAGAGGATATGTAATAGCTTCAACATTGGTAGTGAATATGCAATAGCTTCAACATATGTAGTGGATATGTAATAGCTTCAGCATTGGTAGGAGATATGTAATAGCTTCAACATTGGTAGTGCATATGCAATAGCTTCACCATTGGTAGTAGATATGTAATAGCTTCAACATATGTGGTGGAGATGTAATAGCTTCAACATTGGAAGTGGATATGTAATAGCTTCAACATTGGTAGTGGATATGCAATAGCTTCAAAATTGGTAGTGGACTATATGTAATAGCTTGATCAGTTGTAGTAGATATGTAAAAGCTTCAACATATGTAGTGGATATGTAATAGCTTCAACATTGGAAGTGGATATGTAATAGCTTCAACATTGGAAGTAGATATGTAATAGCTTCAACATTACTAGTAGATATGTAATAGCGTCAACATATGTAATGAATATGTAATAGCTTCAACATTGGTAGTAGATATGTAATAGCTTCAACATATGTAGTGGATATGTAATAGCTTCAACATTGGTATTGGATATGTAATAGCTTCAAAATTGGTAGTGGATATGTAATAGCTTCAACATATGTAATGAATATGTAATAGCTTCAACATTGGTAGTGGATATGTAATAGCTTCAACATTGGTAGTGAATATGTAATAGCTTCTACATTGGAAGTGGATATGTAATAGCTATAACATTGGTAGTGGACTATATGTAATAGCTTCAACATTTGTAGTAGATATGTAATAGCTTTAACATATGTAGTGGATATGTAATATCTTCAACATTGGTAGTGGATATGTAACAGCTTCAGCATTGGTAGTGGATGTGTAATAGCTTCAACATTGGTAGTGGATATGTAATAGCTTCGACATTGGTAGTGGATATGTAATAGCTTCAACATTGGTAGCAAATATGTAATAGCTTCAACATTGGTAGTAGATATGTAATAGCTTCAACATATTTAGTGGATATTTAATAGCTTCAACATTGGAAGTGGATATGTAATAGCTTCAACATTGGTAGTAGATATGTAATAGCTTTAACATATGTAGTGGATATGTAATATCTTCAACATTGGTAGTTGATATGTAATAGCTTCATCATATGTAGTAGATATGTAACAGCTTCAACATATGTAGTAGATATGTAATAGCTTCAACATTGGTAGTGGATATGTAATAGCTTCAACATTGGTAGTGGATATGTAATAGCTTCAACATTGGTAGTGGTTATGTAATAGCTTCAACATATGTAGTGGATATGTAATAGCTTCAACATTGGTAGTGGATATGTAATAGCTTCACAATTGGTAGTGAATATGTAATAGCTTCAACATATGTAGTGGATATGTAATAGCTTCAACATAGGTAGTGGATATGTATTAGCTTCAACATTGGTAGTGAATATGTAATAGCTTCAACATTTGTAGTGGATATGTAATAGCTTCAACATATGTAGTGGATATGTAATAGCTTCAACATTGGTAGTGGATATGTATTAGCTTCAACATTGGTAGTGAATATGTAATAGCTTCAACATTGGTAGTGGATATGTAATAGCTTCAACATATGTAGTGGATATGTAATAGCTTCAACATTGGTAGTGGATATGTAATAGCTTCAACATTGGTAGTGAATATGTAATAGCTTCAACATATGTAGTGGATATGTAATAGCTTCAACAATGGTAGTGAATATGTAATAGCTTCAACATTGCTAGTGGATATGTAATAGCTTCAACTTTGGTAGTGGAGTATATGTAATAGCTTCAACATATGTAGTGGCTGTGTAATAGCTTCAACATTGGTAGTGGATATGTAAAAGATTCAACATTAATAGTGGATATGTAATAGCTTCAACATTGGTAGTGGAGATGTAATAGCTTCAACATTGGCGTGTCCATTTTAATGTCAACATAAAGCCTCAGTCCAGAATCCCAGTATGTTATTATCAGTGTCGTGATGAATCCCAGTATGTTATTATCAGTGTCGTGATGAATCCCAGTATGTTATTATCAGTGTCGTGATGAATCCCAGTATATTAGTATCTGTGTCATGATGAATCACAGCGTTTCCACATTAGTGTGATGATGAATCACAGTATGTTATTATCAGTGTCATGATGAATCCCAGTACTTTGTATTGACAGCAGGTACTTACAGCAGTGAGTGGACGAGGACTACTACCACAGAACCTCCATCAGATGGATCAGTCCTTGCTATTTCCTTGGCAATAGCTATCACAGTTTGTCTCTTCATTGTGCTTGGGGTAGTTTTCTGCCCAAGGTTAGTAAGATTTAGCACTAGAACAAAGTGAAATAGTTCATTAATATGAAATCATTTCGTTGTTTCACTAAGAAAAACTCAAAAGGAATGTAAACCCGGTGGTGATACCGGTGCACCCTGGGAAATTATACGTTTTCTGGAAGTAAAAGATCATATATTGTTACAGTATACTCGCATTTTAGTAAAAGCATGAATAACATTTCAGATCTCTATTTATATGAATAATACATTATTTTATGAGAGGGCATTTCTCGTAAATTGCCTTCATGTTTGTTTTCAGACGTAAAAAGAAGCGTGAGTAAATATAGCTTGTATTAGCTTGTTAATAACAGCATTAACGTCATTCATATCACCGTGTGTTACTTTTTGTTTAATCTGTCATTAAGGTTGTACGTATTTCTCAAACAGAATTTTTGGGGGGTGGGGTAGCCAAGTGGTTAAAGCGTTGGGTCGTCACGCCGAAGACCTGGGTACAATGTGTGAAGCCCATTTCTGGTGTCCCCCGCCGTGATGTTGCTGGAGTATTGCTAAAAGCGGCGTAAAACCAAACTCAGTCAGTCAAACAGAATTTAGAGGCAATTCCGTTATATGATTGCTCAAAAGAATGCGACGTTTTTAGATCTTCCATCATACACTCAGTAATATAATAATAATATAACATACAATCATAGCACATGGGTGTTCGCATGGACGCTTGTTGAACTACATTACGTAACATCTATTTCATGTTATTTTAATTATTGTTTTTCTAGGTCAACCTGATCCTGAGGGTGGCCAGAGACTACTTCCAGGTATGATCAATCAAGTTTACTCCGTATTTTAGGCCAAAGGGCCCATAGTACGATTACATGGTGAGGTATCGTTGTCACATCACCAAAATCATATGAAGAAAATCTTAAGCTGAATATTTTTAGCAAGTATATAGATGTTAAACGTAGTATGTTGTCATCAGATTGTTTAATATTTGTTGTAATTTTAATTTAGTTTTACAATATTTGTTGATGGACAAGAAGTATTTATTACGGAGAAGAGAGTATATATTACAAATAACGAAAATATGGTATTCATTTTACAGCGACGGTGATATCACAACAAAGAGATTATATATAAAAATTATCAACATCTTGTATAATTCATATACGAATGAGAAAAGCCAGTTAATTTTACCATGTTTGTCATAAAATTTAAGCATTTCATAACAATGTAAAGGATGACGTGAAACATTCATTCTTTATAACTTTATTCAATATTTTATAACTTTTTCGGTGTTTTTATGAAACAACAGTATCGTCCACTTTCTCCAAGAAAAGTTTTGTGTAGTTTCAGCCGCAAATCTGGATGGCAGTCGCCGAGACGACACCATGCTGCATAGCGCCTGTAGAAGAGGGACCCTTGCTCAAGTCAGACAAATTGTATCTCACCAACTGGTGGACATAAACAGCAGAGGAAAGTGTGGCTGGACACCAGTCATGATAGCAGCTGAGGGGGGACGCCGGGAACTAGTTGACCTCCTTGTGAGACAAGGGTGTGACCTGTCACTGACAGATGATGACGGTAACACTATCCCTTCACGTGGCTTCTATCAAAGGACATTTGAAGATAGTGAGATATCCTCTCAAAGAAAGAAGTTGATGTAAACATTACAGGACACTGTAACAGGACAGCAGATGATGGCGGCAGCAAAGGTTTGGGCATAGGAAAGTGTTTGACTTGCTTGTGAAGAACGGAGGTGACCTTTCAACTGTTGGATTCAGATGGAAACAACATCCCTTCACACATTGCCTGTATCGGAGGACATGTGGAGATCGTGAAATATATCCTCAACAACGTCAGTGTTGATGTTAACAGCAGAGGTCACAACGGAAAGACACCGCTGATGTTTGCAATAAACTTTGGTCATGTGCAAGTCTTTGAACTGCTCGTAAGTAAGGGATGCATCTTGCCAATAGTGCAGGAGAACGGGAAAAATATCCTTCACATGGCATGTGTAAAAGGAAATGTTGACATGGTGCAGCATATCCTCAAGAAAAACATAGTTTCTGTGGACCGAAGAGAAGACGGTATGGGGAAGACTCCAGTGATGCTTGCTGTTAGTGTGGCCATACAGACGTATTTCAGCTGCTTGTGAGTAAACAGTTAACCCGACATACACAAGGTCTGTCACGGTGGAAACAACATCCTTCATACAAGTTGTGCCCTGGGTCATATCGACATTGTAAAGTGTATTCTGAAAGAAGGTCGTGTAAATGTTGATAGTTGTGGACAAAACCAGATGACACCTGTAATGTTTGCTGCACAGAATGGACAAAGAGACACATTTGGTTTAATTGTGAATAAAGGATGTGACATGTCGCAGGCGGACAAAGACGGAAATACCGTCCTTCACATGGCCTGTATCGGAGGACACAAGGACATTGTTGAAGATATCTTGTCAAAGGAACTTGTTGACATCAATAGTAGAGGACAGTCTCAGAGGACACCGGCAATGTTTGCAGCAGCACGTGGACACCAGGAAGTGTTTGACCTACTCGTCAACAGAGGAGCAGACCTGACACTAGTTGACGGAGAAGGTTTTGGCGTCCATCATCTGGCCTGTATGGGCGGACACTTGCCAATGGTGGAACATATTGAGAACATTATTGGTGTTCGTGACAGTGATGCACTTTAACACAGATGTACGAACAGACAGTCCCAGTTACATGCTTCGTACCAATGATCTTACAGCATATTCAAGCTGCAATATGTGTGATGTACTTTAACACAGATGTTAGAACAGACAGTCCCAGTTGCATGCTTCGTACCAATGATCTTATAATATATTCAAGCTGCAATATGTGTGATGCATTCTCGTTAGTTGTGTGGTCAATTTGATTTCAATATATCCTGTCAGCAGACTGCAGGTTTTCTTTATAGATATATCACATGTACATACTCGAAGTTGTTAGTTCGCAGTAAAGTGCGTCGATACAAGGAACATTTCCTATATCTGACACAACTTACAGAAAACATCAATTCCTCAATATATGTACTTGAGAATTGCTACGTAAGCGATTTGCTCTAAAGATGTTCTTTGAGATAAAAATTTCTCACAATTTATGGGTATAAGAGACAAACTCATGTGCCTTATCTATTTCAATAAAAGCTATTAAGAACTGCATGAATTTGATTTTGAAATGTGAACTGATGCCATAAAAATCTATAACATTGAGTCAATATGTCCCAAAATATTTCAAATTTCAGGATCCACAAACAGTTATATATTCTGATATAGACGCCAGGTCATCCAAGTTCATCAAACATGTTGAGTAGGCAATTCCCCAAAAATTAGCACAAATTCCAACAATTGTAAATTCTCAAACACGCAAAGGATTGACATTTTACCGTAATTTATTAATGTCAGAAAAGAACCAAATTTAATTCTGTCTCGGCATTCAATTTCTCAGCTTTTTACACCATGATCCTATGTGACAAAAGTATGGACATTTTTCACTTTGATTGTCACAGACAGTTGTAGACAGAATATGAAAAGTCAAAATTTCATATGCAAGGGTACATTTACACGGAAATAGACCTTTTTGTCCTGCTCTTTTTCTGCATAAAAGGTGTTTGTCAAGCAGTCTCAGCGCCAACACAGTACAGATATCATAAGTAACTAATGTATACTGCTCACAAAAAGTAGCAGATATTGAACAGATGAGACAAATAAAAGCAAACGTATGTTTAATTGGCATTGGGAAACAATGTTCATGTGGAAATAAGGATGTCTAGCAACAGTTTTCAACAAATTAACATTGATAACGATGTAGATGTTGTTTGTAGACAATGTCACAAACTGGTCAATAAGGAGTTCGCCCACCATTATCTGCCAAACAAACATGACACTGACGTCTCATAATAATAATGAGGGGACCAATGTCAACTTGAGAAATGCACTGTCATTCCTCTTGGAGTGCCACGCCCAGTTCTACCATGACCTAGCATGGGGTGCCGCCTCTCCACTCGTCGTCCGCGCTTATCCCACACATCCTCCATGGGGGACATCGCTGGCCATGGGGAATCGGGGGACATCGCTGGCCATGGGGAATCAGGGGACATCGCTGGCAACGGGGAATCGGGGGACATTGATGGCCATGGGGAATCGGGGGACATCGCTTGCCCTGGGGAATCGGGGGACATCGCTGACCATGGGGAATCGGGGGACATGGCTGGCCATTGGGAATCGGGGGACATCGCTGGCCAAGGGGAATCGGGGGACATCGCTGGCCATGGGGAATCGGGGCACATTGCTGGCCACGGGTAATCGGGGGACATTGCTGGCCACGGGGAATCGGGGGACATGGCTGGCCATGGGGAATTGGGGGACATCGCTAGCCATGGGGAATCGGGGGACATCGCAGGACATGGGGAATCGGTGGGCATCGCTGGCCATGGGGAATCGGGGGACATCGCTGGCCATGGAAGTGGATTTGGTGCTGCCGGAGATGGTCAAGGACAACGCGAGCATGGTGAACCCTGGCGTTATCATCCTGGAAAAAAGAATCCTTGTCCGTGGCGGCGTGAAAATTGCAGTACGTGTGGCGTGATGATATGGACACCAGTGACTCTCCCTTGGAAGATGTGGAGGTCGGTCCTGCCGGTCATCGTGATCCCACCCAACACCATAACAGACTCCCTTCCATATCGGCTATGTGGAATCATGGCAGCTGGCTGGTGGTGCTCTCAAGGGCGGCGCCAGACACGATGACGGCCGTCAATGAAGTCCAAGGTGAACCTTGACTCATCATTTGCACGTGTGAAACATAGTGTGATTTTTATACCCACCCCTCGGTGGGTATGGATCCAATGTTTTTGGATCTCACGACACCTGGTGGTCAATGTCCAACATGCTAAGGTGGGTCATTGGTTATTCTCGAACATACCTAAAGTAATCGGAGAATTCTACATTCCTGTGTTTTTGCCGCTCTGTCTTCAAGTAAGCTTTATGCATTATATCGATTCATATTTAACACATTTACTGAGAGTTATATGTCCACAATAAACACACCATCGCTTATGTCTCTTGCAAACGACGTCATTGGTACCCAACGAATCACGTCATTAAACTCTATTTGACCCATTTAACGTGGTGCAGGTATTAGTGTGGTACTTGTGACTCGATGTGCAAGCGATTGTATTTACCGTCTTGTTGCCTGGCTGTCAGCTGGCTTTGTGTACCGGTCAGTTGCCTGGTGGTCAGCTGGCTTTGTGTACCGGTCAGTTGCCTGGCGGTCAGCTGGCTTTGTGTACCGGTCAGTTGCCTGGCGGTCAGCTGGCTTTGTGTACCGGTCAGTTACCTGGAGGTCAGCTCGCTTTGTGTACCGGTCAGTTACCTGGATGTCAGCTGGCTTTGTGTACCGGTCAGTTCCAAGCAGATGTAATGACATTGCGTTTTGGAAAAAAGGTATACCAAACGTGTTACCAAGTAACCAAGTTGTACAACATTCAACCTGAGTTAGTCGCCATCAAACAGTATCTTTATTCAGCAAAATTACCGAACAAAATTCCATTCCCGGCACCACTGTATGTCTTAATTTAAATGTCGAATTTTACTGGGAGTATTGAATTTTAAAAAAAACAAACCAACAATGGTACTTTTGTTGTAGCTTGATAGAATCACCGATGGTCATTCTAAAACAACGTGGATGAACAGAGAATCGCTGAGAATGTTTTGGAAAACAAGGACTTTTAGCCATACTGCAGAGAGCTTTCTTATTATAAACGCACGTTACAGGTATGTCGGTTATGTTTCGCCCATCACAACTATATGATATCGCTATCAGCTTCCTTACATTAATCTCTGGATTCCTCAGTTCACAGTAGAATGACAGATGGTCTTTGCCTCCAATACCAAGTGTCTCAGTGACAGCTAGCGTAATATACCATATGTAAAACGAATGCCGCTCTGGGAAAGGACCACATGTTTGAAATGTAGACAAAGCCAAAATCATATTTTACATCGTGTATCATTTTCTCATATTGTGGGACATCCGTTCGTCTACTCGTTGCACACACATGCTCATAAGTGTAAGAATATCCATGTGAAGATAATTGTAACAAGAAATAGGGAAATGAAAATAGGCGTATTCCAATGATTTCCTAGATTCAACACAATATATTATAGTTTCCTAAGTGTCACTACGTGGCTGACGCAAACTCACGCACAACGTTGACGACACTTCTCATTTCTGATCATTTCCCTTGGGCACAATGAAAAAAAACAACATAACAACTGATGTCAGAATGTTTCGGACTACTTACATGTTACATTTATGCATATACGTTATTTGAAACAAGAGAACGTTTCCTTCCAAATATGCTGTGTATTCATATCGGTGAACACGCTTTTTGTGAAAGTCGCTTCCCGACAGTGATGTCATAGGTGCATCAACATTGTTCTACATATTTGGTATTTTCATTGAGGTGAGGTTTATGAATGAAAATACACCTGATCAATCTTACTGCTGCTTACATTTTCAGTTCTAATACTTCTTTCGTATTTTACACATTTTTCTCACGTGATTACTTTCATTATCAATACCTTTTGATCTGGGGTCTAGACAGGAGACCAGTCTAAATCAATTATCACCAATAATAACAACCATAATCAAAGGGCGTTAACTCTGGCCTGTTTAGCTCGGCAAACAAAGGCCACATAATGACATAACATTTCGTCACTTATGCTGAGGGTAACACCTTCATTGTACGAAATGACTGTATATTTTCAAGCATTGATGTTAAAGGTCACATGCAACGTAAAACACAACTTTGCAGATTCTGATACTTTTCGGCATGGACTTACCGAAACAAATCATCAAAAATGCAAATTCAACTTATAAAGTTGAAAAATAAGTTCAAACGATTCACTAACTTTCCCTAAGGCTTTGGTGTGAGCTATTTTCTAATGTTTTGTTGATATTTCACAGGCGCGAGCTTTTTATATGTTATTACAGTAGATTACCGATTTAACTGTTTATATAATTTCATTTGTCTACTTCACCACACGTTCTTCTTACCGAGTCACTTTTTCAGTTCGATACTTAAAAGCAATGCCATTATTTAGCCTCGACAGAATTTCTAACTGTGATATAGATATGTTGTTGTCACAGACTAAACTCAATGTCTGTTTATTGGCACCTATGTGTCTGCCTGCCTGTCTGCTAATGACAATATTCAATACACAATTTTAATCACTGACCACATGCAATTTGAACTTAACACCTATCAGGCTATACACCATAAACAAAACGCATTGATTTATGGCCCGAGTTCGGTCTCTGTCACATTATGTAATTACACATACAGGCAGGTGTGATACTTGTACACATGACATGTTATGATGTCTGTTGATTGCAAAATGTTATACACAAAAAATGAGCATGTAATTACAAAACCCAACATCTCTATATATACACACACAATGAGCCGTGATGGCATCTGCAAATGAACCAGCCGTTACACTTGAGTGCACACCCACCAGCTCTGACTGGGTTCGGTATCCCGGCTGCTTCGTTTCTTGGGAAGTAAACCCAAGTACAAAATATTACACTTTTGATTTGCGATTGTACGCTTTTAATTTTGTTTTTATGTTTTTTTCATAACCAGCAATGTATATGATATGTCATGAATAAGTGATAATTGTGTCATAATTATGTTTGATGATTTTGTTGCATGTGACCTTTAACTAATAAAAAGATACCATTTTGTTTCACATAAGAAAACACGTTTCTATTTTGTGTACACTTCCCTTTTAAAGAATAACTCCATCTGCATAAGGTGGAAGTAATGTGAATTCTAGTAGGCCACACATGCTTACAGCCACAGTGCTGGGCATCTCCATTGATAATATTTGTGTGATATGTAAAACATTTCATGAACGTCCCCGTGGGTCTTTCTTCCAGATCTGTTTTAACCCAAGAGCAGGATCTGCAGGTAGGAATCACACAAGGAATCTGCACAAATCGTTAACTTAAGCTTCAGCTATATTGGTGATCCGAAGTAGTTCGAGAACGGTCAAATAGCCGATTACCACCCAATACTTTCCCTTCAGCACGGGACACCAGCGTTACCACCCAGTTAGAATTATATCAGTCCACAAGATTGATATCAGCTTTCTCACTGTCGACTTTCCCGCTGTGTGCAGCAATATTCCTGCACTTTCAGCCATTGGCATCAACGTTTCAGACAGATTGAGTTGCAGTCGACCACTCTCTCCCCAACACGATGTCAACGAGCGGTCACAATACACTTGCTAAAAATGTCTGATACAAGATAAAACAGTCAAAGCCCAAGTTAAACAATATGTTTTATGGTAGACATGTTAAAACACTTCCAAACCCGACATAAATGATTCGTGTCTAATGCAATTCCAGCTGTATGACGTACATATATAATCGAACTTGGACCAGACAATCGCGTGATTGACATCATGAGCGTCAACTTACACAACTTGGAAACGATGACATGCATCAAGTTAGTCAACGAGCCTGATCACCCAATCCCGTTAGTCACCTTTTGACACAAAATATGGGTTGATCTATTCTCGGATCTTGACGGGTCGGCGATTCCAACATTATTCTGGATACTGTTGTCCAACCGTCATCACACAATAGTCCGAAGTCATTCCTTCAAAATAGATAATATAATAGTTGCATATGCATAATTATAATTTATCTTCAGTACTACATGATGACGAACTTTAGACGTGTTACCTATGTTGTCATGTTTGTTAAACTGTACATACTGGGTGGTTGTGAACTTGTTGTGGGCTTTTACATGTTCAGTCACATGATAACAGAGGCGGCCTTAATACATAGAGCGCGTTAGTCCTTTGTGGTTGTAATGTGAGTCACGCAGCCTGCATTGACAAAAAGATATTCAATTCCGCTGCCGCGTATGCAACCCTCTTTGTTGATTACACTCACACCAAGACCCGGATGACGCATTCCCCGACACACAGCTTGAACCAATCTACCTTGTACTACAGGTAGTGTATGTAGTGTGCAGCCGGACTGGAGCGTGGTAGCAGCATTGCATTATAGCAAAGGTAAGCTGTTCATATGTCTTCAGGTTTCACAGTCATGTATAGCAAATGTATGCTGTTCACACGTCTGATTTCTGGTTTCAAATAGCAGGGTCTGTATCAGGAACGTCGACCGTTCACTTCAATAAATGTACAGAAACTCAGTGTAAATATAGGGAGAGGAGCGAGCTTGTTTAATATGCATTTCCTTCTATATACAGATATATTAGTGTACCTCTTCTTTACCGTTACGATAGAAGTATATATATATTGCTCGTATCTCCAGACGCACATACATCACAATCCTATATATACACATATTGCAGGCTGTATTGACAGACGGCCGTTAGTCTGAATAATGAGGTCATGTGCTCTTTTGAACAACATACTTACCTGTGTTTAGTCAGTTCAGTAAGGTTTCTATCAAACACGACCAGGAAAGGCAAAGATTACTCTCGATTGGTGAAGCATAATTTCCAAGCCCTAGAAAGGTATTGGTAGGAAATGATAACCAGCGTAATTGTTCTAAACCATTTTCCGGAACATCTTGACAGCAACCAATTTGATTTTCTCAGCCTGGCCTTGAAACTGTTGATTTTACGAATCTTCTTTTTAAAGAACATGTGTGTGCTGACTGACTCAGCTTATAGGCTGTTATAAATACGAAAAGATGCAAATGTCAGAAGAATACAGACTTAAGTGACTTAATGCAGTGAAACTTCTCTTTAAAGAAAATGTGTGTGCTAACTGACTCAGCTTATAGGCTGTTATAACTACAAATACGAAAAGATGCAAATGTCAGAAGAATACAGACTTAAGTGACTTAATGCAGTGAAACAAGGGACGACAATGCACATGGCACCATAGTGATATATGAATATCACTTTTTGTCACATGAGAATCAGGACGTTTTGGGATATATTCTTCCTCAGCAGTTATCTGTGTCAATATCCTTAGGGACTAGGTGCGTCTGGAATTACACCTGGCTTCTATTTCGCCATTGTGATTATCAATCAGTGCCCATGATCCACAGACTACCCTTCTTGAGTGTTCAAGTGTTAGGTTTTCACTATTGTTGTGACACAAGCACGTATATAACTATCTGTTTCCTAGTTATGGACGTCGACTTCCCAAACCCCCTCTTACCTAATGGCAGTTTCGGCGATTGTCTTGGATTTTTACCGAATTTTCATTTAGAAAACATAACCAGTCATCTTGGTATACAAGATATACTGCTAGGTCCACGTTCCAGGAAAACATCTGGGAACTACCCACTAGGAATCAGTATGGACGCGTTGTTTCTGTTTAGACCCTTTAAACTTGAACTTAATGGTTCATCTTTAAATATGATAACGTGATTGTATGCCCATTCGAGATGGTTCTGTAGGTATGTGTATTTCTAACAATTACCTGCTACCTTCTTTTTCTGTTATGAAGGATGGCAAGCAGGAAGGAAACACCACGAACTGAATCGTCTACCAACATAAAACCTAAAGGTAAACTTTAATGTTCTCTCTGATATCAGCAAAATAGAAAACATTTTCCCTGTCATTAAAGAGCACCCAAGGCTCAATGATAGAAAACTGGCTGTGTAATATACATGTACATGTATGAGCCGGGTATATTTGAATTACCACTATCTTCTGTATAATATGCATTGCAATGTCTTTTACCGTTGTGAAATGACTGTTCATTGTATCAATATCTTAAAACAACCATCATGCTTGGTGCAAATTTATTTATGGTTTCAGTGTGGGAAAAATGGATTAAATACACTGTGATGTGAATTGATATAAATCAATTTATTACATACCTATGTAAACTTATGATAGTAATAGAGAGATACCTATGACGTGGTCAAATTACGCATTGCACCTCAGATTCCGTATTGAACCCGTGCCGGTTATACTTTCTCCGAACTCGGCTCGGATTTAAAAGTCGAACAGCTTATTCGTTCCTTCATACAGGTTTGTATGTATGAAAATAGGAATGAATTTCATTAGAATGGTGCTATTATTTTGCCTATGGTAAGTTGTGAAAGTGGGACTTGATTCATGACGTCATGCGGAGGAATCTATGATCTAGGTCAGTTGCGTGATCCGCCCATCGCGAGTGATACTTAATGTCAAGCTAACCTGAATGCGTGAAAATATGCATCGCTACGCTATGATTTGTTTTATAAAGTAACAGGTTAATACAAGATAAGAGGGTATATAACCCGTTGTTTCTCTGCTCCCATGACATCTTCTCGTTCAATACAAAACCTCCAAATGCACTAGTATGACGTTCTATATATGCATTGAATATGCACAGGCGCATATATCATCAATATGTCGGCATTGAATTATGGGCCGAATAGCCTTCGTTTTGGAAATTAAAACATGAAAACTAGCCGGCAAGATATAAATGTTTCAGTTTGGAGCGACTAGTAAAAACATCAGAATGTCGAGAGGGAAGTCTTCTAATAACAACAGGGACATAAAGCAATGATGCCAATGCCGTGGATGTGTGAAGTTGTTGAAATCCTTTTATTGGTAGAATTTCAGTAGTATTATGACAGACGTGAGTGGAGCAAAATGCAGCTACAATTTACCATTATCAAGAAGACCGTTGCAACCATCAATTACTGTTGATCATTTTTGATATATGCTACTATTTCATGCTGGCGTGGAACTTTTATCACTGAAGATGAAACGACAGGACCGTTTAAACCCCAAAGAGGATATTACCACCAAGTTTCATGTATATGGATTTTTTCACAGGAAGTAAGATTGCATTGGACGTTAAACACCCGGCTCATAAATCTACGAACCTGCTTTTTAACGTGAACATCTAAAGAGAGGATCCTTTCTTAACATTAAGTGGACTAATTTTAATTTTCTTAGAGTAAGATTAATGTCTTTTGTACTTCTTAATTTCAGCTTTTTATGATGAAGGAGACGTCTTTACAGTTGAATTCACGGACAACGAAGAAAGGTCTTGGACATATGTAACAGAATGGACATGCATTCCAACATCCGGGGAATGTGAGATCATACTTACACGAAGAATTAATGAACATTTGTGTAACATGATGCGTCACTTTGACAGACCTCCTAATGTGAAGCTGACGAGTTTACGGAATCCTCAACAAAAGGTCATACTTGTCTTCGGGCATGACACAGAGGCTAACGCTTTCAACATGTTCCGTAAGTACACTGATGTGAGAAGCACTGTCGTATCATTTCTGCAGAAAGAAAAAATACCCATGGAGGATATCAAAGTGAGAGTACGACTCACAAGAACGGGTCAGTCAACAGGGCAGCAAGACAAAGGTAAAACATCTTTATCTTGAACGTGTCTGTACAGGATTCTACTAAACTACATATGTGTTCCATTTCAATAGCATGTGTACCAAATGCTACAAATGAATTTAAATGTATCTTTCTAATTAATGTTTTGGATGAAGCAGTTTAGTTAAATAAGTGTTGGGGGAAAATCGAGAACATGAAGAACAGTGATACACATTCAAAGTTTATTCTGGAATACAACACAAATTGTCAAACTATCATTATTGGCATGAAATATCGGCCTATCGGTCAGACAAGTGGGCTATACCAGTGACACCCATCATCTACTGAACACATTTGTTGTAATGCAGACATGAAATATCGGCCTATCGGTCAGACAAGTAGGCTATACCAGTGACATCCATGATCTACTGAACACATTTGTTGTAATGCAGACGGGACATGACTTGGACAACAGAAATACAGGAGATCACCAGACCAACCAACAAGTCAAACTATACCTTATTACAGTCATTTCAATTCTATATACACTTACACTTCATACTGTTCAGCCTCAGCTACACACGACATTAGGCGAAAATGTAATAAAATATTTCCAATTCGTCATGTGATCACAGCACATTGACGAAGACATCTACCAAACTACGCAGTTTGCACGTTCATGTTTGTGCACGACACAGAGGCTGGACGTTTGTCTGTTTGTTGGTAGCATGGTCTAATACACGTGATTTGATGTGAACATCACACAAGGCTTGTGTATGTATCAAGTACGTAAAACACTTTATATATCACGCTTACCCCTCTTCATGGTCTGTCTTCCACATGCACTAGGCTGTTGTGTTTGGGCGTTTGAATCAAACATGGTGCTGGTGTGTTTCAGCATCCTTTTTTTCGTTGTTTTTAACAATGTTTCATTTCACTCAAACTCAACGAGTATTGAATCACTTGCTTCACTGCATGTTCCAACATGTCGTTTAAAGTGCCAATTAAGCACACAAAAAGTTGCATTTACCTTAGAGTATAAATGACCTCACCATGTATCAGTTTCTATATGACTATCAAATGTTAGGGTGTTCCCATATGTTTTGTTTGTAGTATAGTTCATAGTACATTGAACGGTGTACCCTAACTGGGTATTTTACTGTTTGTGCAAATACGTCTGGTTGCGGGAGGAACACCCCCCACATGTTGCAGGTGTTGTCAGAGACTTTATGGGGCACCACAACTTTGCTCTACGGCCTGACAGCCAGTTTCTAGATCACGTCTTGACTGAGATTTTAGGCTGGCCACGATACCACCAGAACCCGCAGTTCAACAAATCTCTGATAGTCGGAACAACATCTCAAGGTTGTTTTCAATTATTACTTGCCTTAAAATGTACTACTGTCCCTATAATCAACGCGACCGAAAGTCATTCTTGATACTTTACCACCAGCCCTTCTTCACGTTGTGTCGTCGCGTGGTCTCATGTAAGATGGATTGGCTATGATAAAACATTGATCAGACTAATGGACAAATTGTACGTTCTCAGTATCAATAGTATAACACTTACAGCATACATACACTCCCCCTAACAATAAACGAACCTTTATATACCCTGTGAAAAACCCGCTGGTTGTATTCTGCCTGTATTACCTGAGATCTTTTCAAGGTCAAGGAACAGTGAAAGATCTTAAACTTTAAATACACACGACTGACAGTACAGGAGCTAAAATAACGACACAAAATGGCTGCTTAGTATTTTCACTTAGTATCGCCACGTGCTTCACACCTCGTGTTCACTGGTTTAATTGACGTAAGAACCTAAACAGTGATGTGAAAACTATATAATTACGCAAATGGCATTTTTAGTTGCAAAAGTAACGTTTGATTGAACACGATTATGGGAGTAACTTTGTGGCTTGTGTTTGCAAGAAGCGAGATCAAGGAATTGCATATGGCATACACAATAGCAATTACTTCTACAACTGAAGGATATTTTCACAGTTATTTTACCCTTTACAGCAAACAGAATCTATGTCCGAGGATAAACTGGGCATTTTATTGCAGTGATATTTGAGGTCTACTACCAGGAAATATGGAAGATATTTTTCAGGCCAATATTTAAATTTCCAAATTCAGCAAATTAACCTACTTCACAGATGTTGTCATTTTCACAGTTATTGTGCGGTGGGCATACTCTACAGACTCTTCCTTTTATTGAAGGGTACAACTGTATATTTGATCCGACGCCAGATTACCCTGAAGAAGAAAAGTCAGAAACAACGTGGTTCTGCATACCTGACAACCCCAACCTTGAGGTCGACAACAACGAGGCGAGCAACAGTGAGTTTACGCGATTTAAGGAAAATATCAGAAATTCATTCAGGGCTGTTTTGAGGAGAGTTTCGACTGGTTCTGTGATATTTACTTTTCATCATGGAAGCACAGAAGACGCTCTGGAGATGATCAGTAAACACGATGAAGTGAGAGCCAAGATCCTGGAGTGTCTCCAGGGGATTGATTCCACAGTAAAGGAAATCCAGATGGAGGTCCAGCTGCAAGTCTTCATAGGTAAGGGACATATGTACGTGGTTGGCTCGGAACAGGCTCTATCTGGTTTTGTTGTGTCTTTAAACACTTACCTCTTTGATGGATTTGTGAATGCACAACAGCCTTTACAGATTTTACTTTTGTGTAATGGGACTGACAATAACGCTTGTCGTTTACGGTTGTGTCGTCCTGATGGACATCGTTTAATATCTTCACACCTATCAATCGTAGTTATATTTACATGTTTGTAATATTATCAAATTTTATAGGATACTGATCTTCGAGATTTATTCAGAACAAATATTTGGAAGCAGTCGTTTTAAGCAAAGTCTTATTCGGTATTGATCAAATCTGCTTGTTATTCTGTTACCATTTCCCAATGTAGAATTAAGCAATGTTGTGATCCGTGAGATACTTCTCAACAATTTTACGTAATGTCCAGATCACGTACTGTTATAGGAAACACATAAAGCCAGAACGTTATATGGTTCTAAAGCATAAGTACTTGCTGTTCGTTCGGCTATAGTGGCAAAATGCCTATTTAGATATGATTAGATTGTTATTTTGCATTTTTGCTTCGAAGCGCTTTTGTTCTGATTCCTTCAATGTCTGGTCCAGACTCGATTTGTTTTGCAAACAACATCGTACCGCACTAGTGCTGCTGAAATATATACATGCTCGTGATATAGTCACACCTGCACAGTCTACTCTGCTCCTGGATGTGGGAAGGGTTTTGCAGCTTCTATGTTGAAAGATTGTTCTTGGTATCTCTTCATTTAGGTAATGTCACTCTGTTTTTCATTCTTTCTGCATTAGTACTCAAAACAGAGAAACTTCGCTCAAATGATAAGGAAAATATTCTAGTATGCATATCGTCACTTCCGGTCACGTATTATAACTACATTTGCACCAGAAGTCATAGTTGTAATATTGTTTGTAAGAAGTTACTTGTACTTCGAGTTTGGACTTTCTAACTCCCAACACATTCTTTGTACATTAAAACTATCAACTAAACGGCTCCCAAATTCCAGCTCAGTGTGTTTCAAAATTATTTGGTCTTTCTATGGATGTAAGAACACTGATGCTGCACTTTCCAATACAACCCTGAAGGTTCTCTATACGTTGCTAACAAAGTCATACCCTGGATGACGCTCAGCGTTTTGGACTGGTCAGTGTGTGACCTTGTCCATGGTCATCTGTGGCATGGTATCTCAGTTGGCAGGGCTAGTACAAGCAGGACCACGTGTGATATATAGTGATCTCAGCTGACAGGGCTAGTACAAGCAGGACCACGTGTGATATATAGTGATCTCAGCTGACAGGGCTAGTACAAGCAGGAACACGTGTGATACATAGTGATCTCAGCTGACAGGGCTAGTACAAGCAGGAACACGTGTGATATATAGTGATCTCAGCTGACAGGGCTAGTACAAGCAGGACCACGTGTGATACATAGTGATCTCAGCTGTGTGATATACAGTGATCTCAGCTGGCAGGGCTAGTACAAGCAGGACCACGTGTGATATATAGTGGTATCTCCTGTGAACATCAGAGTTACAATTACCCTTCAGCATCATATGCTTGACACGAGGAGCGAGAAACTGAATCGGGTGCCCATGTTTGTAGTCTTGACACATGCATGTCGTATCCACAATGGGTAGATCGATACCTATGATGCCGCCCTCGTCTGTAACAGCTGTAATAATGCTGAGTGACTCACCAAAAAATAATAGTAATAGACTGATAACTACAGAATACAAAACGACGCAATGGCATGCCTCATTTTTATTGGCCATAGCTATGACCCTGTGAGTCCTTGAAAATGCAAGATTCTCCATATCCTCTGAGAAGCTCTTGCAGGGTTCGACGATGCAATATTGCGCGTACACATTCCAGCTTCACTCCTTACTAATACTTTTGTTGAACATGTTTATCTTGTGGAAACAATGTACCTGCCTTTCTGATTTTTCGCAAGCCTATTTCGTTGACTGGATAGGTGACGTTACAAGCAGAATCGATCCGATTTTAGGTCTATTGTAATGATCATTGTATGTGCTTGTGACGAATTGTTAACATGCATTAATGGGTAACAAATTCGAAACAAACTGTTGACTAAGAACCTTATTTCAGATCCACGTTCACTGCCTGAACATGGCGACCAAGATAAACGATACGTGGACAAACAGGTATCTGTAATCAACACGCCTGTCACTCATCTAGTTTATGGCTTCATGCTTGCAAGCAACAGATATCTTTGAACCTTTCTGTAGCCAACAAATATGACATGATACGTCTTAACGATTAATGTATTCCATGTTCAATGTTTGTTCGGATTCGTAAAACTACCCAGAGTGATTTCTTAATAGTTTTATAAGGCGTGCATTTGTCCTGATATACGAATAACGGATGTATATTAACTAAATATTACGTTAACATACACAAAATATCTAATTAATGAAGCATGTCCGCGTTTTGTAGGAACACGACAAAGAGGTAAAGGACCTGTCAGAACAAGTGGCAACCTTGACGTTACAATTACAAGAGATGAAGGAGAAGGAACAAGCACAACTGGCAGGTACAAATTGTACACCTTGTGTTTGAAAAATTAAACAATATTTTTGAATCTCTAACCACTTGTAAAGGTTTAAACTAGTACAAGTGACTAAATCCATGGAGTGACGTATTCTGAACTTATGAGTTAAAGGTAGTTGGCTTTATACTGAAATACAGTATAGTTAAAGAGGTTAGGAGATATAATACTGTTTGATTACTATCATGTATTAATTCTCACATGTTCCTCGGTTTGCTTCAGACTTTCGGCTGTCAATGTGGAAGACGAGGCCAGGTTCTCCTCAGCCCTCAGAAAGCAGTGGATTCTGTGAGTACAAACTGTGACCAGGAACAATCTTTAAGATCTGTATGTAACTGTAACACATTACAAGGCAAGACGGGTCTTGTAGCTGGGTCCTGCTGTCCCTGGACGATCTATTTACTGTGGACATGCGAGGGGTACCTGAGATGGCAAAGACATCCAATTTGTTCATCTCATCAAACACAAGCACAAAATAAATATTGAGCAGTTGGGACTCAGACGACATTTTTCACTGCAGTCAATAAAACATCATAATTTGTGTGTAGTTCGTGTTAACTTCTTACATAAATGACTGTAGTAAAACTGTAGCTATAGCTGCAGACCTTACTGTTTCAGTTACAACAACAGACACAATGACAGATGTCTGTGTTGAGGAGTTTCAGGATACCACAGGTAAAGTGGAACAGGAATGATAGTTTTATGTATGGACAACTTCTTGGTTGCAATGGATGCGACGTTTCAAGCAAGTGATACACAACATTATGGACAAGGGGAATCAAAACATGCTATTTGCTATAGAAGTTATTTGAGTTTATACAATTAACGAGGTTGATGTAAGTGTGATAACATTATTAACAGATGTTGTGGTAATAGATAATGGTTATGAAGCTAGATGGACGAAGGGTAGGGGCCGCTTAATCTTGACTGGCCTTGATCAGATAATGGTTGGCTGTAGGGATGTAATAACCTTGATCTCTGTAGAAAAACTTCTGAACCATACTCTTTACAGTATTTTACATATAGTGTCACTAAGTAATGTGCCCAATAATTTGTTGTTTAGTTTTTTGTCATTAGTCGGGCGAAGCATAAATTCAACCAAAAGTTTGCCGAAATCACGTTTACGTTTTGAGGGATGGCAGTTGCTTCATTCCAACTTCCGGGTAGTTGTGTACTATCACTTTCACGGATGAATATTACTCCTAGTACGCAAGCCACATGCCGAACACTCAGTCAGTCATCATGTCATCTCCTTTTTGAGTGAGTGAGTTTATTTTTACGCCGCCTTTAGCAATATTCCAGCAATATCACGGCGGGGACACCACATTGTACCCATGTGGGGAATCGAACCCGGGTCTTCGGCGTGACGAGCGAACACTTTAACCATTGAGCTACCCCACCGCCCCATTCCCATTTGAACGCGATGCTAAAGTTGATTATTGATAATAAACTTAATGCGATCACATTTAATCCCCAAGTTCTCTTGTGAAAGCGTTAGCGTACAGTACTGATACCTCTAATGCCCTCCTGTACTTTCATTATGATAAAACGATACTTAGAACATGTGTCGTTATAAATATATTTCTTGTAATTACAGATCTATCAGAACCTGAAGGCGGCCACAGGCAAGGGGGAGCCAGTAAACCACGGGTATAGTCAGTTTCACAGGATTGATTTCAATCATTGCAGTTAGACTCCCATGCTGGCGATGTTCAAAATAATGGAGTCTATCATTCCTCTTGAGAAGTGTGGGAATTGTATACACGGCAAACAGACGGGCACTGGACAATTCAAGATCTTGAACTGACATATACCTCTCAAATATACCTAAACTTTAGACTCCCACTCTTCAGAAGTATTGGAATTGTACACACGGCAAACAGACGGGCACTTGACAACACCAGATCTTGACCTGACATTTACCTCTCAAATATACCTAAACTTTAGACTCCCACTCTTGAGAAGTATTGGAATTGTACACACGGCAAACAGACGAGCACTTGACAACACAAGATCTTGACCTGACATTTACCTCTCAAATATACCTACACTTTAGACTCCCACTCTTGAGTAGTGTGGTAATTGTACACACGGCAAACAGACGGGCACTTGACAACACAAGATCTGGACCTGACATATACCTCTCAAATATACCTAAACTTTAGACTCCCACTCATGAGTAGTGTTGGAATTGTACACACGGCAAACAGACGGGCACTTGACAACACCAGATCTTGACCTGACATATACCTCTCAAATATACCTAAACTTTGGACTCCCACTCTTGAGAAGTATTGGAATTGTACACACGGCAAACAGACGGGCACTTGACAACACAAGATCTTGACCTGTCCCTGGGGTCATGAAAGTGACTTCAGTCTAAAACTTGTTTATATCTATCATTTTGATCTTAAGTCCAGAAGTGTCTTTAAATCGGGGATCACGTACATTTTTGAGTCATAAGGTTAAGACTGAGATCAATTTTTGTGTCCTGAGACTGCTACCTACCAGTCTTAAGCCCTTTTTGATGCCGATGGTTTTTTTAGGCTCACATTTTCATAAGGTTTGAAAAGTGAACGTCGTGCGAGATTTGCGCTCGCGTGGTCCTGGATCTGCTTACGGCTATAACATTACACGGAAATGAGGAATATTAAATCTCCCTTCCGTTGGTATGAATATAAATGCAAATACCTTGGCGGTTTGCGAAATAGACACTGCTAAATGATGTCCAAAGTTTGTTATGCTTTAAAAAACAGTAACTTTCTCCGCTTTTGATCGTGCACCGATAAAAGCACTGTGCTACGATTTTTTTTAATTTGGCACCTGTATGGAAAGTGTGAGCGAAGAAAATACAGCCTGATATCTGAACGACATAAGTATATATGAAAAGGGTTTACTTTCTTATACATAACGTTATACGCTCAACATTAAAAATGACTCACTTTAAATGTCGAAAATGGATTTCTTAACGTCAAACGACGACAGATAGGTCTTGCACGTATAAAGATAAGGGGGCATAACTCCGCTATGCTTAACACTAGGTCAATGTAATTCAGATCACTTAGAGAATTTGTTGTGGATACGGATGCTATACCCTGAACCAAACTATTCCAATACAAAGTTCCCCCAGTGTGAGCAGATACGTTTTGGTAGTTTCACAATTTATATGAAAAGATGACAATGTACTTCATGAGAAAGCACGTAAAAGCGATTTGGATGGCCCTATCCGATATGTAAATTAGTTCTTAGATTCACATATTCTCCTGTTTGTGTAGATGTGTTTTGACTAATGTTGCATCATTATTAACCGAGTACTAGCCATATCTTCAATGTAGTGAAATTACTGAAAAGACTACAACATTGGAGTTGACGTCATTGCTTGCTTTATGTATTTTGTGACGTCGGAAAAAGACGACATTGGTATGCTGATTAGTATATATCTCACCTAGTTTGCATGAATTGTATAAAAGGTTTCGGTTTCTATGTAAGAACTTTACACTCTTTCGACAGAACTTAACATGACTGATTTTACCATTTAAATAATGTCCTGAATAGATCCATAATTAGACGGTTTGACTGTGTATCTTTATATGAACAACACACGCACCGGTTTGACGTAAATTAAAGAGAATATTTCACAACACCTGGCCCGGGGGTCATGAAAGTTAAATTGCTGTTCATTAACCTGTTCATATGCAACTGTAATATTGGTCCGAATGGCGAATATTGCACATGATAGGAACTATTTAAGTGCATGTTGCAGTTACACCTACGTTTGTTCTTCTAATACTAGTTTAAAAGTTTAGAATTTGGTGTACTACACTCAGTATGTCAATTTCCTATGCAAATATTATTCAAACAAACAAAACCCTTGAAAGAATAAAAACCGTTTACCCCATATCCACGGACATAGAACAAGGCTAAATGTAGATAATGAAATTATTTTCATGAAAAAATATCTGAACGATACACAAAATATACATTATAACACTGGAAGTGTAATCGGTGGGACATGGCGATTGTCTTTTACTCTATGTAACAACAATGTTAACGTATATGACATCACTACCGTTGACCGATTTCTTACAAAATGGCGGCTTCGCTGATATAGTTACACAGGATTTTGCGAGAACCTTTCCCTTGATTCTGGAATCGTTTGTAAATAAATGTGTGATGTAAGTAATCAGAATAAACCTGACTATCTGTGTATTCTTATATGTTTTATCGTTTTTATTGTAAGTAAGAGAAGAAACCAGATATGCCGATCATTACCGTTGTTGTTCTGCGAGGTTTTCCGTCATGGCGTCACGCTGCACAGAAACTTTGACAATTTCGTATAAACATATCACATTACTGAATTATATCAATTTTTAATTTGCTATTTCTTGCAACGATATTGTTTGCATGCATGTTCTAAAAAAATTGAGTCTATGCATGCTACGAATAGAGAAATGGGTGTCTGAAATTTGAGAAAATGCTAAACAGTGTAAAGTCTGAAATTTTCTTTGTTTACATTTTAAAAAGTGCTGTCTTTCGCGCACAGGCGTTCGTTTTCATGTCCAGTATCTTTTGTTTCATATCACCTAGACATTTGGTGACAAAGACCATTTCTTATTTGATACTAAAATGTATGAGGAATTGAGTGATGCATTTGTCACAGCTGAATATGAAATATACGTGATGTGATAGGCGTCTCGATACCGGCCTTCGCGAAACGTGATTTTGTAAACACATTCCAATGCAATGTGGCAGAAAGCGCACTCAGGCGTTCGTGTTGGTGTATTTTCGAAAACATCCCAACCGTAAAGACACTAAAATTCACCGCGGCAGGGATAAAAGCGTCAGTTGACTTGTTTGGAACATTTCAGCTGGTGCCTGCTACTAAACTATTCTCAATTAATTAAGAGTGACCGGGCATCATTACATCATTCTAAAATTGCCATGGTCACTGTCTTAGTCTTAGTCTTAGGAGACAGTTTCATGATCCAGTCTTATCTAAAATATTAGCTCAGCAGATTTTTTTAGACTTAGGAGTTTTGTGTGTTAAGCAAATTTTAGATTTGATCCCGGGGCCTGGCATATATCTCTCAAATATACCTAAACTTTAGACTCCTACTCTTGAGTAGTGTGGGAATTATACACACGGCACACAGACGGGCACTTGACAACACCAGATCTTGACCTGACATATACCTCTCAAATATACCTAAACTTTAAAGCAACAGTTTCAGAAGATATTGGTTGCAGCTGAACCAAACAAGCATTTGATCGTATGTCTAATTAATGCCAACCAGTTACTCATCATCGGGAACAAGTACCAGGCTGTGAATGCTGACTAACCAGTTCTTACTAATTCACGCTCATTTAACCATGTTTAAAACCCATGTCTTGCAGCACACGTCTGGAACCGTCACTCATCTGAGAAGACAACTTGCAGACATGAAGCAGGAACTTGAGGCCACCACGGAGAGGATGCACAGACTTGAGATCGCACAAAGCAAAGGTAACCCTGGTCAAGAATTACTACAACAACACCCGCCTATGGCAGCCATTATACAACAATGAACATTCCTTTGAAAACAATGCAAACAATCAACACCATAACCATTAGTTTCCTCAGTCATGACAAAGAATATCAGAAATGTAGAAGAGATCAGAGTTACTTCCCCTGAATCTAAGGTTACATCAGTCATGACAAAGAATATCAGAAATGTAGAAGAGATCAGAGTTACTTCCCCTGAATCTAAGGTTACATCAGTCATGACAAAGAATATCAGAAATGTAGAAGAGATCAGAGTTACTTCCCCTGAATCTAAGGTAACATCAGTCATGACAAAGAATATCAGAAATGTAGAAGAGATCAGAGTTACTTCCCCTGAATCTAAGGTTACATCAGTCATGACAAAGAATATCAGAAATGTAGAAGAGATCAGAGTTACTTCCCCTGAATCTAAGGTAACATCAGTCATGACAAAGAATATCAGAAATGTAGAAGAGATCAGAGTTACTTCCCCTGAATCTAAGGTTACATCAGTCATGACAAAGAATATCAGAAATGTAGAAGAGATCAGAGTTACTTGCCCTGAATCTAAGGTTACATCAGTCATGACAAAGAATATCAGAAATGTAGAAGAGATCAGAGTTACTTCCCCTGAATCTAAGGTAACATCAGTCATGACAAAGAATATCAGAAATGTAGAAGAGATCAGAGTTACTTCCCCTGAATCTAAGGTTACATCAGTCATGACAAAGAATATCAGAAATGTAGAAGAGATCAGAGTTACTTCCCTGAATCTAAGGTAACATCAGTCATGACAAAGAATATCAGAAATGTAGAAGAGATCAGAGTTACTTCCCTGAATCTAAGGTTACATCAGTCATGACAAAGAATATCAGAAATGTAGAAGAGATCAGAGTTACTTCCCCTGAATCTAAGGTTACATCAGTCATGACAAAGAATATCAGAAATGTAGAAGAGATCAGAGTTACTTCCCCTGAATCTAAGGTAACATCAGTCATGACAAAGAATATCAGAAATGTAGAAGAGATCAGAGTTACTTAACCTGAATCTAAGTACAGCGACCACGTGACAACTTGGAAAGGTTTCTACATCAGTACTATTAGCACACTTCCCATACCAAGATGTTCAACAAACAGCTGTGAGAGCCAATGGGACTGTGAAAGGCAGTCCGTTAATGTTACTGTGAAAGGCAGTCCGTCAATGTTACTGTGAAAGGCAGTCCGTCAATGTTACTGTGAAAGGCAGTCCGTCAATGTTACTGTGAAAGGCAGTCCGTCAATGACACATCGTCTGACTCTCGCCACCAGGTGTCTGTTCCGCTATAATCCAACAAGTATACACAGCAACATCTCAAACAAGACCTACAACCTAGCATTTGCTAGCATTGGTATCTACAATAAGACCTACAACGTAGCATTTGCTAGCATTGGTATCTACAATAAGACCTACAACGTAGCATTTGCTAGCATTGGTATCTACAATAAGACCTACAACGTAGCATTTGCTAGCATTGGTATCTACAATAAGACCTACAACGTAGCATTTGCTAGCATTGGTATCTACAATAAGACCTACAACGTAGCATTTGCTAGCATTGGTATCTACAATAAGAACTACAACGTAGCATTTGCTAGCATTGGTATCTACAATAAGACCTACAACGTAGCATTTTCTAGCATTGGTATCTACAACAAGACCTACAACATAGCATTTGCTAGCATTGGTATCTACAATAAGAACTACAACGTAGCATTTGCTAGCATTGGTATCTACAATAAGACCTACAACGTAGCATTTGCTAGCATTGGTATCTACAACAAGACCGACAACGTAGCATTTGCTAGCATTGGTATCTACAACAAGACCTACAACGTAGCATTTGCTAGCATTGGTATCTTCAATAACGGATACAAGGCAACCCTATCGTAACCATATTTTATGCATCCACAGATAGAATAAGAGAGGACCGCTTCCATTCGTGACCAACTCGTGTTATTTTGGGACTAGCCGAATGCCGAACATCAGAACTACTTCAAACAAGAACGACAACTTTATTTCTGTTTAAATCCATCAGTATTAAGCATTGGTCAACCTCTGCTATTAAATGATATAACCTGTTTTAAAGAATACATTTGATGATGATGATGATGGTGATGATGGTAATGATTTGTTGATCATAACGTAATTGTTACCAGCAGTTCGACGTATATTTGCAGATGTCTGTTCCTGTATACCGTATAAGAATCACAAAAGGGATTATTTTCGCGAATAGGCATTTAAAATTATAGTTCATTTCAGCTAAAGGTAGTCTGAAAGTAGATAAACAAAAAGAAGAATATGTGGGGAGTCCTATCATGGTTATATGTGTGCATGTCAACTAGTTGCCTCAGCTCACATGTAACCATGCTGCCAAACCCTGGTGGAATTTAACATATGCGCTGAAACAAATATGAATTGCCCCAAAAACGTCAGACTAAATGTCCTAATGATGTTTGATATCGTTTGATGTCGGGTATCGTTCGAAAGCGCTGAACATCAACAACATCACTGAACCCTTGCCAAGAGTATTTTCACAGTTGTAAGAAGCGATTTTATTGGATACAAATTGGTTTCTAATGACGCTTTTTCGCTACAGTCTGCTATAAGGGTCGTGATTGGTAAAAATCAGACACGTGACCTAAGGCATCCAATCATATTACTAAACGAAAACTTTTAGATTTAGACGAAAGTTTTGGGTAAAATAATGCTATTTTGAACATATTAAGCAAAAAATCGCTACCTATACGTAAATTATGGAACTTATTGGACGTCTCGTGCTAGGTTATGACCTGTGACAAAAATGCTTCATGTATATATTTTGTTGATTTTATTCATTAGTTTATTCAATTTATTTAATGAATTCCTCGAAACATCGTTACTTTTTCTTTGACAATGTTATTATGGACCAGCTGCCGAAGCATGTGTCCGAGAATCGTTGTTTTCAATAACATTGCGAAAAATAGTTTATAATTTTAATTCGTGTTGAAACGGTACCGAACATATAGTTCGTGATTGAAGTCTTTCCCAGCGTGGTCGTCGAAATTTCCCTATCACGTATGATAAATGGTTCAAAGGGATGAGTCGCTAAGTCGCTTAACAAACAACGTGTCACTTTGGGTGGAACAGTCAGCAGCGCGGTCAACTTCAATCGTTCGGATTAACGCAGCTGTTTACAACGTAATTAGTCCAATCCGTTCCGACTGACCAGCGTTCGGAGGCGGAAACTGAATCATCGGACTAACGAGGTGTCAATTATATACAATGCAGGCAAAGTGCTTAAGATTAGAATTGATTAGTTTTATAGAAAGACATTGTTTTAAAACTTGCAGTTATTCAAATTTTTGGTAAACTTACGTCATTGACAGATTACAAATGAAAATTACAACAACAATGTCTTTATTGTTTTAACTAAATGCCTATATGTTCACAATCCAATGCTACGTACCGCCATACATAAACATACATAATTAGGCCCATTTGCATACAGTAATAACTGAGATAACCACATGTAATTCAACTCATTAAAATTTAGCACCAGACAAGAACAACTAGTCAACCTTCGTTGACTAGAGATTCCCTACAAGGGAAGGGAGGTAACTCTGCGTAATCTGTCTGACTACAGTTTTGGTAAACTTACGTCATTGACAGATTACAAATGAAAATTAAAACAACAATGTCTTTATTGTTTTAACTAAATACCTCTATAGTGAGTAAGACAAATGATAAAGCAATCTGCCATATTAACATGTCAAACATTTATTAACTCTCAAAAAACCCATAATAGTACACCAGTATCTTTAAAATCTTAACGAAAATATTAGGCTTACTCATGGTAACAAGAAAATGCTGAAATTCTGTAATTATGGTAGAAACACTCATATCAAGCATTGAGTATCGACTCTGAAAAGTCTTTTGGTGTTCTGCTGTGTACATAATGTCCATAGAAAACAGGTTCTGTTTTCCATCTCCCGACCTTCATGACAATTTTAGGATCCTGACAATTCTGAATCGCCAGTGTTGCTCCTGTTGGACGGAACGATTTTGCAGAAAACCCCTTGGAAAAGAGTCCGGCATCTTTTATGGATTGTTCTAGAATCTCTGAAACAGCAGATGCTTGCATGCCTCTGTGGGGTGCATACAGAGACAAGAGAACACTACTAGTGTCCGTTCAGAGAAAGTCTGTCCGCTCTATGTAATCTTTCAAGGTCTTTACAGGGTCCAACTTTCTGCAATCTGCAGGCTGAACCAAAACCTCATTTTGTATGCCAAAGAAGTTTATAGTCAGAGAACCATCTGCATGAAAAGACAATGGATTTGTGGTAAACTCGTTGCTCTTAGTCAAGCAAGTCTGGGCATATGTACAGATTTCGGGCGATATCTGATGGGCGCAACTTAGCCACCAGAGCTAATAGAGTCACTGCCTTTTAGCGGAGCTGTTTTATTGACAATATTTTGTTATCTGGCCATCTCTGAAACAAATCATTCAATGCAGATACTGGCATCACCGTGGAACGCTGCATAGGAACCTCTGTACCAGACTTCACCAGAGCCTGTACTAATCTAGATACATTAGGGGTGTGCACAATGTTCTGAAGATTCATAGTTTCATACAGACAAGATATAGCCGCACATACATTTTTCAGCTGAGATCTAGGTTTAGGCGATGAATCCGCAACCTTACACAGAACGGTTGCTAGCACAGATGTCCCAGTAGGTGGAAAGACACATTTCTCTTCTACACAAAAATCTCTAAACTTGTTAAAAAAGGAATTGTACAAATGTAGAGTACTTGGCGCCAAAGCATGTGATATCTGATCAGCAACTCGAGTCGTCCACTCAGAACGAATTTACCGTTCCCTCCATAGATCCTCCAAGCGAACAGTCTCCATTCTGGATTTGCCAGTGGTTCCCGTTTTTCTTATAGTGGAAGGCAACAACGTCGTTGACGAGGAAGCTTTAGAGGTGAGCAGACTGATAGTTTCTGAAGATGAGGAAACCACGTCTGGGCTAGCCACCATGG